TATATTTTGACACCTTAATATTTTAAAAAAATACAATTGTACATACATAAAATATTTATAAAAAAAATCTACTTACTGAGATATTACACGGTGGATAGGTTTTTAAATAGCAAATTAATGAACTTAAACTTTTGAATTATAAAACAGCAACACTCTCATCTGCATATAAATTCTAACTGACCTTCAGGAATCACATGCATCTATAATGTCGTAAACAGGTTTTTGATTATTTAAAATGATTATAGCGCCATCCGTTGCATAAAATTTAAAGCAAAAACAGATTCACGGAGGATACAATCAATTTTTGTAACACCTACCTAAATGGTTATAAAAAATATTTCTTTTAATTTTTAATAATATTTTATATTTGATTCGATTGCTTTGGTTGTGTTTAATTTACTTGGTGAACTGATATTTTTAGTATGCTTTTACTACCTCAGATATTTGAAAACATATAGGTTAACCTAGAAAGAGTAACAGTCACGGAGGATAGGTTTTAGGTCAAAACATAATAAACGTGTAGGTCAAACACAAATATACCTTTTCAGGTATATTAAACAAAAATAGAATCTGGGTGCGAAACCCAATACTAGTGTAAGTATTTGCTACCTGTTTTGCCACTTGTTACGCTTATAAAGAACAAACACGTCAAAAAAATTACGGCACAAGCCTGACTGTTGCAAACAAACAACTTAATAAAGTTTAACATCGCTGCTGTAAAAATTAGGCTGAGAATGTAAATGGGTAAAAAGTAAATAACTCCGCTTTTGTTGATTTTGTAAAGTAAGTAGTGGACGTTTAGTGAAAAACAAACAGCCGGGAAAAAAGAGAGGATACCTTTAAATATTGACTTTTTAGATTTCTTGTTCAGATAAACGCCGGTTGAGATAATGACTTAATTAACGCACGTACCCATGCACTGTAACACAAATAACCAATTTACATGGCATAACAAACATATTAAATATTTTAAAAAATTACTTGAAATAATATATGGGTGATTCTCATTTTGTTTATATAGTTTTCTGAAAAAATTAAACAGTATTTTGTTATGAGAACATAGATAATATAAGAAATATACTGTTCCAGACCGGGCCAGTCACTTTTTCAAACAGTTTCTGAAATATCTGTGTTTTCTAAATTTGAATGCAAGGGAAGTGACGAGTATACCAGTGTACTAATTAAATACATAATTTATTGGAAAATATAAGATTTATTGCAACTTTGAGCATATTATACATTAAATATCTTAAAATCAAATAATACCACACATCAGTGGCGGCTGGTGGATTTTGGGTATACTCAATTATTAGATATGGGACCCACACCAAATTTATATGAGTTTATAATGACAATTAATAAACAAGTTCTGCGCAAGCAGAATTTAAATTGAAGTTCGGAATTAAGTATTTTACTGAAATTTTTTATTAGTGGATGCTACTTATCAACAAATCACATATAGCCTTTTATAAATTACAATGAAATATATATACGTAAGAAAATAACTACTCACCACAGTACTGAAATTTTGACTGGAACTATAGGTGCATTCACCACAACTTCGCCGCTTGCATTGTTTTCAAGATGACTGTCGTGCAAAGGGCGGGCTCTGTAGGTAATTTTTTACCAACACGTGAGTTAAAACGAGGACTTGATGTTTAAACTTCAATATTTCGCGGGAATTTTGAATTTTAACATTTGACACAGAACTGACGGGTAAAAGTGAGTACAAAGGTTATCAATTTTTAAAAAATTGCTATTATTTGAATCTATGACAAAATATGAAAAATACATTATACTAGTGTTATATTTTCACAAAATACATTTCAATAAGTAATATCAAACCATAAAATTTACGATTTTTTTACAGTTGCTTTGTATCAAATTTTTTGTGGCCGTTAGATACAAGTTTGGACCACACAAGAATTAAATTCGAATTTCAACATCTGCAAGTATATTTTTGGAGTTAGTTTTAACCAAAAAAGTTAACGTTTTTATTTGAAATATAAATAGCGACAATATGGTTTGAATAATTTTGAGCTAAATTATTCAGGAGGATTTTGGAGTAGAGCCAAAATCATTAAAAAAACATTATTTTTAGTTTAATTTTCAATCAACTTTCTTTGTGAAATTAATATTCATTTTGATGTGGCTTTTATACAACAAAATTAGTATTGAAATTAACATTTCTAGCACAATAGTAACATTGTTTACTTACATCTGTACTTGAACCCAAGGCTCTCAATTTATTTATAATAAATCAAAGATGACAATAAATAATAAATAGGGTTATTTGTCAATTAGTGTTAATAGTAATTATTTTAATAAATTATAAAACTAGCGTATTAACTGGCATTTCAAACTTACGGATCAGATTCGAATTAAATAAAACATCTTGCATCTGCTAGATTTCGGATTAACAACAACAAATCTTAAGGAAAGAGATGCAAAAACAACACTATGAAAGACCGAACAAAAAAACCACTTCTTGTAGAAAGGCTAAAAACCTATTCCAGCACTAGGCTTGTTTAATTTGGGAAATATCAAGAAACTCCAATTAACCAATTAAATGTTCGTTGGTATCTTGATATTGATAAATATAGTTATTACTATTTGGGTCGTTTTCAAAAAACACCCGCCTTCCGATGTCCGTAAGTTTGAATTCCAATAACTTTGTTAAAAATTATCGGATCTTATTGATTTAAAAACCAAGTGAAAGCCTAACAAGCCCTTAGTAAACTCTTTCAGAAAATTTTTGTTTAGTTATTTCAGAATAATTTTTTTTTAATTTTGAAACTTGTGCAACTTACATACATGTTTTTTTTAAATATTGAATAACCAGAACTTTGTGTTGCTTTATAGCAATCCATAACATCCTTAGTTAATACAGTAAACAATTTATATTTAAAATAATTAATTTTAATCTATTTTTTTTATTTGACTCATGTCCCAGACATTTTTTCCGTTGCGTTACGTCCGTCGCGTTACCGATAGAATATTAAAAAAACATATATATGGCAACTTTTTTGGCACTCACGTGATCAACAAATGATTTTCGGACGTACACATTACCCAGCTGAATTTATTTATTCAATCAGGAAGAAGATATCGGTTGAAACAGGTGCGGGTAATGGAAATGTAATAATTGTTTGTCCGCTAAGTTACTCAAAAAAATAATAAAAATAAGGTAAGAAAAAATACTATTTTTAATGTTTATGTTTATTTTAGGGCACTAAAGCTTAGCTGAGAGTAATTAATGACTATAATGTCTTATTATTATTTTTTAAATATAGTTTCACAAAACTTTTTCCACTGCGTTACCGAGTCCACTATGTTACCTCATGGTAACGCAATGGAATTTAGGGTAACGCAATAGAATTTTTCGACAAAAAAGTGGATATTTACCGTCGCTTTTATTAAAAGTAGTTTATGATTAACCAATTTAAAATTATTTGTAATTACAACTCACGATATAGATTACATGCAAGGAAAAATTCCACGCAATATAAAAGTACTAAAAGGGACCTTCACGAGCTTATAGTCAAAGAAAAAGGGTGTCTACAATTTAGAAATCTAAGTTGTTATTCTGCAAGTGAGCACCACTACAGGGGATTTTGTTTATGCATTACTCTAAAATCGTACTACCCTATATAGTTTCTTTTTTACGTTATCTGATTAAGTCCTTTGTGTACCCCTGTCCGTTGTGATACCAATGTCTATTTCGTTACTTTTTTTAGTTTTTGTTAAAAAAAATACTTAAAATGATTTTTCTTACTACCTCGACTCAAAATACGTTGTTTCGTCCCCGATTTCACGGCAGAAAGTTTACGTTTCTTGCATTGGTCAAGCTATACGCGCACACTCTAATAGCGGGAGTAAAAATTTTTTAGTCGCGTGCTTAACATTCGAATTTCGTACTGCCAACAGGAGAAACACAAAAATATGACAGTTTTAAACCATAATTTTGCAATTATAACAACAAATAAACAATTTATGTTTTTACTTTTTTACTTTTAATGTTGTTTTAAGTGTTTAATGGTACTTTTATTTGTTATAAAGTAGTAATTTGTTAATTAAAATACAACCTTTTATTTTTACTGTATTGGCACCGCTGAATTACCATGACAACGCTACAGTTTGATTGATTTTGAATGTAAACGTCAGAATTAAATTAAACGTCAGATTTTAATTTTGACACAAATTTTTTTATATACATTTAATTTTTTCCCGTATTTTCTGCAGGGTAGTAAGAAAAATAGTATACACTACACGGGCAGAAAGTGTGAGAGTCCTGAACTGCGCGCCATGATGCCCTCGGCTTCGCCTCGGGCATTATGGCGCGCAGTGCAGGAATCTCACACTTTCTGCCCTTGTAGTGTAATATACTATTTATACACTATCACTTGGTAATACGTGTTTATAAATTAGAGTTTAATTCACTAATACAGTGACTAAAAGAAAATATTAATGGTTTTGTTCTTTTAACAAAGAATCGGAATGGTTTCTTTTAAAAAGTAACTTAACGAACATACATATTAAAAAAAAGCATACAATTTTTAATAAAAAATAAAATAAAAAATTGGAGTCAAAAGTTTGCGAACTAAGTACATTTTATTTCAAATTATTTTATAACAACTTTTTTTATTGAATTAAATTTTGGATTTCAAATTGTTAACAAAGTGGAGATATATAAAGCTAGCTAAACACATTTTTCAGTAAAAAAAGTTTTTTCTGTAAATAAAAATAATCTCATTACTTCGACAAATCGTAGGTTTTCGTTCCAATAAGACACTTAAAATTTAATAAAAAAGGTACCTGAGGTGGTACATTTTTATAGCCATGTGAGATAGAGTTAGAGCCTTCTACACTCAGGTCTAAAAGAGCGAAGCACAGCTGCTGGGTCCTTCTAGAAAAAGACGGACTGTCTCTCAGGTACCAGCAGAGACTTCGGCCTGTCAGCCTCTAGAAGCACAACTTAATTTCTTTTTCATTATTGCTGCGGACGCTAGAAGGAACGGACGGTCGCGCTTTTAAATTTTTAAACAACTCGTCAATAACGAACAGTTTCCAAACGTTTTTATAAACTTAGGTTCAGTGTCAGTGATGTCTTAAAGAGTGTTTAAGTGTTAGTGCGCTAATTTTTTACCATTTGACTTGAAGTACCATGTAAAAAGGATTACAACATTTTTTGTAAGCATACATATTTTACTATCTTTCATAGACCAAGGCTTGATTTCTAACAACAAAAGCATTCGAGAAAATAGAATCTATTCGTAATTATAATTATTGAACAACGCTATTTTGTTTGAGGTTCATTAAGCCGGAAATATCAGATAAACTTTGTGGCTGCCTCTACATCTTTCATTAAGCATTTAAATTGTTTTGATGGTCAATTAGTTCAGAGTTATTAAATTACTATTGAACACATGTTTCAAACAGTTTTATTTACTTCTTTTCAAAGTTAATAACTACGAAACACAGGGCTATATTTATATACTTACTTATATTTCTTTCTACATATAGTATATATTTTTAAATCTTAAAATGTATGTTCATCTGAAAGAAACAGGATACGGTAAAAAACCAAAGCAGATATTTTTGATTTACCGAAGCATATGGAACCCATAAAATTGTAATCTCGAGGTTTTAATGAGACTTTTCCTATTTCCATTAATAAAATTGACAGATTGTGATAAATTTAGATACTTGAGACGCCATGTGTTCAGTTTGTCTTAAAATTACTATCAGTATTGTTCATTTTAAAAGGTTTTTTCATAGCTTCTAAGCAGAGCATTTTGAGAAACATAAAAAAAGTTGTAAAACCATTGTGAAGCGTAAAGTTCGTTTTTCCATATTGTAAGCATCACGTTTAAAAAATAAAGGAAACGTTTTGTATATACTTTTTGTTTGATGCAACATGTGACTGCATAAAATATAAAGTTAAATCATTGAGTAAAGTGTGTTCTTTACTCAATGGTTAAATTTTAAATGCAACTGTCAAGGATTTTCTGTAGATTAACGCTCTTAAGAAAAGCAAGCGTTTTTATTAATAGAATTTTATCTTTAGCCTGTGTCTTATTTTTATGTTCAGAGCTTTGTTGTTTCTGTAGTTAAAATGCCATCGGATGATTTTTAATACCCAACTAAAAATTTTAGGTTACAAGACTAAATTTACTAACAGTATTCAGCAATATTATTTCCAACTTAAAACAATTGTTAATAAAAAAATATACAATACAGAGATTTTTGTATTAAAAAGGTATCGACTATCATTTAAAAGACTCTTTATAAATTTAAACCAAAAATTTTGCAGAATAAAATATTTGAACAACAATTATAATTAAAATATAATTTTTACAACCAAATTCAAAAAACCACCATTGTATTTTACTATTCAAAACCGTAAATACAAAAAAACGAACTTATTGCCAATTTTAACTTAACACTATATTTTTGTTTATAAAACTATAAATATTTGTTTTGCAAAAGTTGAACAAATAACGTGAAGCAACTTTTTAGGGTAATAAAATATTATAAAATTCATAAATGTAGGTACATGTGAAAAGTCACGTATTTGTATTAAGTTCAGTAAGCAAGTTTGCGATTTTTTACCCAGTTGTGGTTTAATTAGCAGTGAGTTTAAATCAAACCATTTATTTAGTCTTGTCTATATTAATATTCAAAGAAGGTACCTATGCATTTCATACCTAATTATTATTCTAATAAAATGTTGTCTGGCAATTAGTAGATGCAAAAATGATTGCATATATACATTAAACGCATATTAAGCAGGATAATTATTCTCATGATTGATGTTTTTCTTTTTTCAGTCGGGATGTGGTTTTTGATGGTCGTGTTGGCAACATTGTGGTCAGCAGGGTGTGCAATCCCTTGCGAGGAGGCCCGTTTGAAATGCGCCTACCGAAAGGGCTGCGGTACGGCCCTGCAAAACTACCTGATGATGTGCTCCTCAGTACTGGACAACCCTGAACCCAGTAGGTGCCCGGAAGTTTGCCAGTACTCCCTTATTGCGCTCACCTCTACTGAAGAGGGCAAAAATCTCATGGAAGTAAGTCAAATGCTATATAAATTATATTTGTCAAAGCTTATAAGGTTTTTTGTTAATTATTATATGTAGAAACTATAAAAATATTACAATGAAAAATATATAATTTAAAAATACAGTTTTTACGAATAAAAACTGCTTCTATATACAGGGTGCACCAAATATTCATCTATGTATAAATCAGTTTTGAAATAATAATAATTAAAAAAAACTAAAAACCTTCATATTTGTAATAGATGGCGCTGTAATGAAAAAAAATCAATTTTGTTCGATTTTTCTTCTGTATACGATTCTGCAATAATTTTTCTATAAAATAACACTTTTTTGGTAATAATTATCTTATTATATTATATTTAAAATTAATATTGTAATTATAAAATTATATTTGTCAAAGCTTATAAGGTTTTTTGTTAATTATTATATGTAGAAACTATAAAAATATTACAATGAAAAATATATAATTTAAAAATACAGTTTTTACGAATAAAAACTGCTTCTATATACAGGGTGCACCAAATATTCATCTATGTATAAATCAGTTTTGAAATAATAATAATTTAAAAAAACTAAAAACCTTCATATTTGTAATAGATGGCGCTGTAATGAAAAAAAATCAATTTTGTTCGATTTTTTTTCTGTATACGATTCTGCAATAATTTTTCTATAAAATAACACTTTTTTGGTAATAATTATCTTATTAAATTAAATCTGATTTTTTTAAGTACCCACGATTTTTTAACTAATATTTAAGTTTCCTTTGGTTTAAGTTTTATACATTATTTCATTCGGTGATAAGTATCAATTGCGCACCATGGTCACTTTTTACCTTCCAGCATTAAATCCTTTAATTTAAAGGATTATTGTACTATTTTTAATAAAAATAACTCATTCAAGATAAAAAAACATTTTTATTAATTTAATCCTAATTGAGGTATAAAGAAACTATTTATAGTTTAGCATTATTTTATCAATTTAGTTCGAAGATTAATTTGCAAACAAAAATATTTCCTTTCGTTAAGCAGTTATTCATAATGGATTTTTTAACAGTGGAAGAAAAAATAGAAATGATTTTGATTTATGGAGAAGCAGGCTGTTAATATCTACGCTCAGCGTTTTCCGGATAAAATTCGATCGCGTACTTCATTTCACCGTACAGTCAAGCAGTTTACTACAAACGGGAGTGTTCAACCGAAAAAAAGAGTTCGTCGAGCAACTTTTACAAAAAAAAAAATCCTAAAAAAGTGGAAAAAAATCTTAATGATATTGATATTGATAACTACGCAATTCAGTATTAACGGTGCTAATGTTGGACTTGGGTTGCATTTTAATAAAGTTATTAAAGCGAATGGCTTATTTAAAATGGGCATAGCGCGTGTTGCTCTGGCAAAATAAAAGTAATCGCTTGCAATTACTTATGCAAATGCATGGCATGCTTGCCTGCAATCAGATCAGAGCTGGAAGTATCTTGAAAAAAAAAGATACTTAAAAGTAACTTAAATACAAAGTGGAAAGTATCTTATAACTTTTATCTAAAAAAGTATCTTAGTTACTCGGTAAAGTAACTTGTAACTAAAAATACAATACCAAGCAACAATTTAAGTATTTGTTACGTATATGGGACTATTGAAGAAACTTTAAAGTGTTTTGCGACAGTCGCCGGTCTCTTTACATTACTCTTTCATTACCAAGTTACGACTAAAGTGGGGAACAATTATTGAGTTCCAAAAAGGTAGCAAATATGTCACTAGCTATAAACCCTGCTACTATTTGGAACGTAGCTGCTGCGTTACTAGAACGTTTCAATATCGTTGCTAGAGCGTTATAATTACTTTTATTTATTTGTTTTTACTTCTATATTAACTGTCTTTGTTAAATGGAACCACTACGGACTTGGCTTTTCAATGTCGTCGTTTATTAAATATGTACTGGTAGTTTATAACTTCCAGAATATAATTTTTAATTAGGCAGTTAAATTTATAAACCCTTAAATTTTACTGTTGAACTTATGAATTTAGTTTTTGTAATCAATATTTAAGTATAACTAAATTATTTATTTAATAATGTTTACAAATAAAAAAATCTTAATATTTATTATTAATTTTTTATTTAATTATTACCAAAAAAATTACTATTTATTAAAAAGTAAACAACCATTTACAAACAATTAAAATAATTTATTATTTACATTACCACGTGGTACTGTACAGTAAAAAATGGCCGATAAGAAGCATTTTCCTTTGAAGTAGTTTTCGCTACTTTAAAGTTTTTCCACCTTAATTTACTTTACGGTGGTTTTGGTTAGTACCATAAACGTTCCAAATACTAAAATAATAACTTTTAAGTAGTTTTTAACTCATGTTCCAGTTTCGAGATTTTAACTTGCAAAGTGACTGCAAAGTAAAAATAATTACAATGTAATCTTTAGGTAGCAACCGAAAGTAACTGCTACAAGTTTTTTTAACTTATAACACCTTTTTTAAAGTTGCAAAGTCTTCTTGGGGGCAACCAAGTTTTACTTAAATGTTTATTACTTTATAGTGACCATTTATGGAAAGAATGAAGTTTCTGTTGCAAAATAGTGCTATTTAAAAGTTAGAATTACGTAGCTGTTTAGTATACTTAACTAATTTAAAGTTATCGCCACTTTGGTAATGGTTTTTGGAACCAAAAATGCTGCTTGGGATCTTAGAAGAGTAATTGATACATTTCTATTTAGTGGAAATATCAAATTTTCACGAGATGTAAAAATTGGAGAACACCCATTAACCACGCTGTCATATTCTTAATGGGATAGTGCATTGCATATTTATACTGCTTTTCAGAAGTAACTTTTCCAGCTCTGAATCAGTTCATAATTTTTTAATTTTTTTTTAGTGCGAATGCAGCGATGACTTTTGCGAGGAGCAGAAACGCAGGTCTGACATTTGCAGGCCCCAGGTCATGGCCTACGTGAACCAGACTGTAGTCTCTTGCAGAATAGCCCAGCTGATATGTGCAGCGGATGCCCTTTGCTCCACTGCGCTAGACTACTACAACCGCTACTGCAAGGCCATGTTCAACGGTAAAAAGTGCACTCCCAGATGCAACAACTCCATCAACATCCTCACCAGGCAGGAGAAAGCCGCCAAGCTGACCACGTGCAAGTGCGACGGTCATGAGGACTACGACTGCCACGGCATCAGGCGCAACATGGACAAGCTGTGCTTCCACAAGCACAAACACCACAAAAACTCCACGCGCCACGACAAAACGCCCGATCTGTACCCGACGGTGGTTCTCACTTCGAAAAACCTCGCGGGTAAAGTGAACGCGAGTTTCCTGGTGTTGGTAACATTTTTCGCGTTTGTAACATGAACGTAAGTTTTTACATTTTTAAATCTACCTCTCCTGTTTAGTATTTATCTTCCCTTACACTGTGATACACATATTATGAGCTATTGCCATCTGCAGAACATCTGCATCATATGGCACGCCGTTTTAACATTTATTATATATTTTTAATTAATTTAATTTAATTTAAAATTTTATTAGCTAAAAATTTTAGGTTTACATTTATAAATCAACATATGAAACAAAAATAGTTTAAAAAGTTTTTTTTTTAACTCAAAACAAATTTAAAATATTGGTTTTAAAAGTTAAAGTGGTAATTTTTTAAATTAAAAATCATTTAAAAGACTCTTTACAAATTTAAATTGATACAAACATACTCACATCACATTACATTTAACTGCAAGTCGATAATTTTTAATTCACAAAGTGTAAACGCGGCTTTAGCTGCTAAAGCTACGTTTACACTTTGTAAATTAAAAATTGTCGCCTTGCATTTAAATGTAAAGTTGTGTTAAAAATTGTTAAAAATAAAATGTTTTGGTTCGATTTTGTAAAGAGTCATTTAAATGATGGTCCAAAATTTTTATAGTTTATATTTAAAAAAAAATTTGACTATCAATACGCTAAATAAGTATTTTAGCATTATTAAAGAATAATATTATGTTGTCGGCGTTTTTTAGAGAACTCAAACATAAAAATGGTTGATTTTAAGGTTATGTTTGTGCAAAAATCATTTTTACTAATTTCCTAAAAATGTCCAAACTTAAATATAAATTATATTAGGTAAAGTTATCATAAGTTAATTCTGCACCAACAAATGTACTTACCGAATTGGATTCATTGGCAAAACATGAAAATGCAACGATTTAGTTCTTGAATTTTATTTACAATTAAAAACACAATAATTCACCATTCCCTTAGATAAAATACACAAACTCACGTAACTATATAAGCATTTAAGCGTTGAGTTTCTTAATCAATGATGTAAAGAATAATCAATCGAAATCGAGTTCTAAACCAGTTTTTTAGTTTTTTTCTTGCAACGTAAAACCCGATACTTATTTAGCGTATTGTTGTGAGTGAAAAAAATAACTTTGTAAATTTCTGTTAAAACATCATTAAAGTGCTAAACTTTAAATGCTAAAATGTCGTGCCATAGCCATCATCTGCCTATTAATATCTACAGTTTTGTAGGGCAGTGTATTAAGACCTACCATATAGTTATTCAAAAATGTTACCCAAACAGTTTTATGTTAGTCCTGTATATAACGTTACAAATTGCCAAATTTAAAGACCAATTAAATAGGGTTTCAATAGTATTAATAACTCACCATCCCCACAGATGTCATTAATAATTTCATATAGACAGATGTGAGTCTACCAAACATTACAATACTTAATGCACAAAAAAATGTACTCACAATTTTTTTCATATTATTTTTTTTATCAAAACCAAAGAAGGCGCTCGCTGTATTTTGCTTTAATTTATTTAAACTTGCTTTATACAGATCAAGTCCGATTTTTTTTAAATTCTTGTTATAATACCACAATACAGGGTGTTACCTAATAAATTTCAAAAATGATATGTATTATTCCAACTATATCTTAAAGTACGCACAAATTTTTTAAATTACTACATTAGACTCTACACTATAGAGTCTACAGGGTATTTCGATACATATGGTATATACAGTTTACAAGATGAAATTTTGTTATTTTTGGTTTTCCGAAAAAAAGTCATTCTTGATAAAAAGATTTGATCGTCGATGTTATCTACAGGGTGTTCAAAAATTAAGAAAACATGAAATCAATTTAAGATATTTTTTGTGTTTTCCAGGATTGACTTTATATTTTTATTTACTGATTGGTAAAAATGTAAACTTCTATTATTGAACAAATGTCCAATATCATACTCTATTTGTGTCCCGGACATTACCAGCCAATTCTTATATAAAATTGTCCCCTGAATCCGAAAAGACCGTCAAAAACTATAAAAGTTAAGCAGTTTTTGAGATATAGTCAATTCCATATTATTTGTAAAATTGATTAATTTCAAAAACTTTTATAACTTTTGACGACATTTTTGTATTCAGCGAATAATATTTCATAGGAATTGACTGCTAAATGTCCTGGATACAAATTGCTGGTGACGAGAATTATTAGTGGCTGCTTTTTATTATTATTATTATTTTACAAAATAAACATAAAACTCGATCCTATAAACAAAGACTTTATTATAAAAAAATTCAAAATTATCGATATAATGTTTTCCTAATTCTTGAACACCCTGTAGAAAAAATAATATTAATAATAACAATAATCAAAAAAACAAAAATAAAAAAATTTCCTCTTAGTTACTGTATGTTTAATAAAATATTATACTTTTGTTATTTTGGCTGTACTGACTGATATAAGAAAATATAAAAAATAACTAAGAATTTAAATAATTTCCAAACGGCTCTTCTTTTATTTGTAAATTTTATCTTGTAAATAAATAAATATTTAATTAATTTTAATTCAAGGGTGCATCTTTTAGCACCATGTAATTAGTAATATCGTATGTAGATATAGGAACTATTTATGAAAATTTTGTAAAAATTGTTGAGAGTGAAATTTGTATAGAATTTTATGTGTTTTAAAATACGTAAATTGTATAAATGATTCAGACTTCAGTCTACGAAATTGTCTAATAATAAACGTATTATTTGTTACTAAAAATAAGTTTTATTTTGATTTTTTTGAGCTTTACCTTAGGTAAAAATTGCTTAAAACCAAATTAGGTATCTATACTTTTTGTGTATCATACATTTTTCAAGCATATTTGGAAGAATGGATTATTCAACTGGTGAAAACTTTGGCCCCATGCTAAATCCAACCCTGCCCAATAGTCTCAACTAAGGTAAGTCAAGCCAATTAAACTATGTGATTCTATTTTAAAGGTGTGTCTTTTAAAATGTAGCGACTTTCTACACTAGAACCATTTAACCGTTACTATCTACTTTGCATTTTGTGATTGTAACACTTTGATCTATTTTCCATAGTCGTGGGCCATGATTGTTGCAAACAAATCATAATCCAGTTATAGAACTGCTTTTATAACCTAATGGAAAAGTCAAATTGAGTCACTTAACCAAATTTCCTATTAAGATGAATATATACAATTGTACATATGTACATAAAATATTTATAAAAAAAATCTTCTTACTGAGATATTACACTTCACGGTGGATAGGTTTTTAAATAGCAAATTAATGAACTTAAACTTTTGAATTATAAAACAGCAACACTCCATCTGCATATAAATTCTAACTGACCTTCAGGAATCACATGCATCTATAATGTCGTAAACAGAGGTTTTTGCTTATTTAAAATGATTAAAGCGCCATCCGTTGCATAAAATTTAAAGCAAAAACAGATTCACGGAGGATAGAATCAATTTTTGTAACACCTACATAAGTGGTTATAAAAATTATTTCTTTTAATTTTTAATAATGTTTTATATTTGATTCGATTGCTTTGGATGTGTTTAATTTAGTTAAACACAATAAAAGTGTAGGGAATATTTGTTTTAAATTACATGCTAACAAAGAAATACAAATATCGAGTGTTTTGCTTTAAGCAGACCGACTTGATTTACCTGTTGCATGTATAGCCGTTGATTAATCTATTACCAAATTTTATTAATGTGAGTTTGACCAGGTACATCAAGTTGTATTCAGGGTGGTCTTGTTGGTGCAATTAAGACCAACATTATGCGCAGAACTTGCGGTGAATGAAAAATATTAATAAAAAAATACTTTTTGCATTTCCATCCGCTACCCATTAAAAAGACATTATTTCTTTCGAAAAGTCATAGGAATATTTGAGATGTTTTCAGGTAACGTTTTGGTTAATCACTCAATTTTCTTTTTCTCGGAATTATACATAGCACCTGAGGCAATGAACTCTGAAGTCAAGATCAAACGAAATTATATACAAGCATGTTACACAGCATGCCAAAATTTGATTCTAAAAGTCATATAAGCTACCTGAAAATAACCGGATATAGATAATTATACTTCCAGATTTTGATAAAACGGAAGTAGCCCATTATCTCGTGCTTTATCTCGTGCATCTCCAATAACGTCAATATTGAAGATAGTTGATGATCTCTGATGAAACACGTATTCCTAATCATCTAATCAACTTCACTGTGTGGGCTCAGTAACTTGATTTTAATGTACCTAGCAAAAATCAGCAGTAAATTATCAATCTATTGGAATGAAAAATTATCATCATAAGTTACTTCTGAAATACACTCATAGGCAAAATAATCAATCCACACAAATTTTCGATGAATTTCAATCGCAAATAACTTTTTTATTTAATGTCGGATTTAAACGAATATTAAAGAATATTGTAGATAAATTAATAGACAATCGCTCACATTTTAAAAAATTACTAAAAAATAGACGTACGTTTATAATATACAGGTTTAAACAAAAAGATGTTTTTTACCGTAAGTTTAAGACACTCTGTAGAGTGGCAAAACCGTATATCGTCGCCTTCAGGAGAAAATTGCTTAACTCCATGTTGTAAAATTTTACAGGAGGAAAGAAAAACATATTAAAGGTGCATTGGTGTATCTCCACATTACCGCCAAAAAATTGTTTAATGGAAAATTACGTATCTCCAATATGTACTTTATGTTAATAAAAGTAACCTTAAATTATTCATGGTACCTTAACTTTACACACTATACAATCTTTCATACTTACATACAGAAAAAATAACTAGGCAATAACTTATACTTGTCAATGGCACTGATTTGTATATTGGAGTTAGGCATTATTCCCTGGACGCTCCTCCACGATTGGAGATACGTATATTTCTTTTTCTAAATTTAAAATTAACGGTTTATTTTAGGACTTCTGTAACTTGCATATAAATTAGTTACAGTTTTATCTAACAGATGCCACTAAAATACAATTTTAATGAAAATGTGGAGTTACGTGATTTTCTCCTGAAGGCGACGATATTTTTCTAAATTAAGTTTTATTTATCAAGTCAAATCTATTCTTAACAGTTTTGTTCAATTGTCCAATAATTATAAAGTGTCTACTAGGGTGATTCATTTCCACAAAGTTTTTGTTTTCTTCGGTGCTCAAGCAAAATATTAATCTGCATATAGAAAAAAAAATTCTCAAGAAGTTTGAGCTCT